CACACTTATAATAAATATAATTTGCTGCTCTTAACAACAAAATGTACCAGATGCTGTTATTATTCATCTCAACATGCATTTTCATTACTACAGAGACCCTTTTCTCCTGTGTACACAAACCCACATTTACAGGAAGTGCTCTCTCTCTAGAGTCATTGAAAAGTCTTTTAAGTGTTTATTGACATAATTAGAAACATTATTGTCTTACTCTGATTATTGTTCCGCGGGTTATGAGGCTTGTGAATGATTTGATTGCATTTTATTAAAGTTTTACACAATCTGTGTGAACACAAAGATCAAATAGTAATTCTTAATCCATTTAAGGCTTGCGCATGTCTTCATTACTAAAAGCTGTAAGATTTGTGTGCAAAAGACTTCATTATGTAATGTCCATACTGTGGCTCACACTTTGTATTACACAAATCCCAGCAGCTGGTGCTTTTAATGTATGTACATTTTTACGTTTTTAGTCCACATGGGCTACACCACCACCTCTTTGGTCCAATGTGGAGCTGTAGGTAGCTGTCCTCAGACCACCCGACGAAGCCCCCAACACACCTTTATGCTCCTCCTCTTTGTCCTTGCTGATGCGGCCCATGATGCAGGAGTTGTCCGAGAACATCTGGAGATAACATGTTCCAGAGTTGAGTTTAAAGTCAGAGGTATAGACGGTCAACTGTAACGATGACAATACAGTTCCTTGGTGAGCGTCTGTTGCTCAATACAGGTCTTGCAGCCTGACATACTGCAGCCTGCCAGTGAGTTAGTCTGTAATCCAGGCTACCATGTCATGGTCCACCTGCATGGCTGAGAGCTTCTCTGCAAGGAAGAGTAGCTGAATGGAATTGAAAGCACTGGAGAAGTTGAAAAGCATCACTCTCACTGTGCTTCCAGGCCAGGTTGGTTCTGTGACGGTACAGCATCATTTATTGATGAATTCAGTTATATTATTTGACCTTGATATCTTTTGCTATATTTCTTCAGTTTTGGTGCTCCACAATGCTCATCATAAACTCAGCATGCATGCATACCAGTGCAGGTATGGTTCTATTTTCTTAGTTCACAAAATGCCCCTGATGGGTACAAAATTAACTTCAACTAAAATACGTTTTTATATTCTCTGATAGTTGATTTTTATATAAAATTACTAATTTCACAAATGTACACACATGTACCATTATAGTGTGGCTTGCAGCTTGAGGTGTAAATGTATTAAGATGCAGGAAGAGATTTTCTTGTAGGTTTTTAGTATGGCCACTTGAGGGCAGCAGAATATTTTTCTCTGGTTATTTATTTGGACAATGTAGTGCCATATTGAGACAGATTTTTATTCTACTCCTCTCCTTGTTTCAGTACTTAGGAAGAAAGAATGTTATATTTGTATAAAAAAAAGGGGGATGTGTGTTTAACCATGAGCTTCTCTTTTAAGTTGGAACATTCAGACCTGCAAATCTAATTGAGAAGGATTATTTTGAATGACCTCCATCTGTTGGCAGTATTTTTGTCTTTTGGTGTCACAGCCCAACATACATTTCTTTTTTAAGGGTCTTACTCAACTCTTCTCGGCCAGTAGATGTTCAGTGAGAGGAGAATATTACTCATTACTCTCCTACCCACATTATACCATTTCATGACCTTATATGATCCCCTAGCTCTCTCTCACATTAGGCTACATTCCTTCCAAACCTCCAAAATTCATTCTACACCAAATGCTACCATGTTTCTTATCTACACTCAATTGGAGAACACTGCTGGAATGTGATGTCAGGAACTGTTTTCCTGACTTTCCTCTGCCTGGGAACTTTATCAGCAGGTATGTAAGCTCGTATCTGCCTCCCCAATGAGCTAATAAGCTGATGTTCCACCAAAAATACACACAGATGCTACATTATACACACACACACACACACACACACACACACACAGGGATATTGCAGGTACAATCTAACTGCAGGAATTTCTGATGAAGTCCTGAACGTCTTTCTCTAACTGGGATAATAATAAAATTTAGACTAGGACTCTAATGTCAGCCCAGGCCAATCTCCATTCATTCACGACAGACTGCTTATACTGTAACCGTTTTGTTGACAGTTTTTTTCTGCTTACTACTGCTTATGCCAGTAAAATATCTTTCTGTTTTATTACTAATACACAAAAACTGCTTGAACTATCCAGAAAGTGCCTTAAGTTCCAATTGCACTTCCACAATTAACACATCAGTATATATATGATTTTTGAGTGTTTGTTCTGCACCTGGCATTTCCTTTGAGCTCTGACCAGACTTGTGATCATAGCAAAGCTCTGGTATCTCGGATTAGCTGGAGGTCTTTCCACCAAACAGAAAAGAGCATACAGGTCTTTATTTTCAACATTATTTCCTCTCATTCACATTTCCTGCTTTCCTACACGGCAGGGTCAACCATTTATTACTTAGAGTAGTAGTGTTTATTTATGAAGTGACATGAGCTACAATGACATACATTGGTAAGTACTGTTAACAGACATTTCACTTAAACAGGATATTATACATATCCATTACACACTATACATACAGTATAATCCAACACTACATACCTGCAAAACTCACTATGAAGTAGAGTCAACACCACTGTGAGACACAGTCTCTGCAGTACTTGTCTGTTGAATTGTCTTGTGATTATGCCTATTTCCTGCATTTGCCATTGACGGCAACATTGCCCAGCACCATTGCTCTAAAAGTTGCTCCGTATGTCATCAGCTTTAGTTTTTTGTGTTTTGAACATGTAGTCAGAGACTGAGACTGACCAAAAATTAAGCAACAGTGGAGGAAACTTCACCCAACAGCAGTCTTAGTAGAAAATGGTTCTTATTGAGAATGTTTCTTTTATTAGGACAAACAAAAGAACGCATTCTGGTTCTGTAATTTTCTGTTCTCTAAGATTACAAGAAAAGCATTCTTTTTGAGTCATTTCCTTTGTGGTTTGTGTTAAGGTTTAGATTTGGATTTAGATTTCTTGCTGTTGCAGGTAAGAAACCTCAGTGAATTTCTGTTCCCACCGAGTGGAAACAGTGAGCCAGTGTTGTTTATAGGGAGGGGGGGATTGCTTTATCTTTCTGACTTCAGGTGCTAGGCAACCTCTCTGCCCTTCACATTCCCCAGTATCGGTCAGGTGACCAGAGTTTGGCCAGAGCCAGCAGAGCATGGCCGGAGAGAAAGAATGCATTTTTTTTTCTTCTTTCTTTTTTTCAGTCGACCAGGTTTAAGTATTTGATGAAATTCAGTTTCATCACAGCCCCAGCACACTTTGGTTTACTAGACCACTGTTTGCTTTACACAACAGTTTTCTTGGTTGTTGTTGTTTCTTGTCAAAACATGAAAATCTCACTTTTCTCCCTCACACTCAGTTTTTTCAAATAAAAATTAAGAGTTTCATTTGATATGCTGCTATTTAGAAACAGGGAACCCTGTGTATTTTTGGATGGCTGCAAGGTGTATGTATCAATGATTAGCTTCACTATTGACCAAACATGCCCGAGGGTCTTAGACAAGTCACTGGAACGGCACTCAGGAAGTGCTGCTCACTGATAAACATGCTTTGCAATCATGATGCTCTTTCACGCCTCTGTGGAAATAGATCAGTTTATTTACTCTACATTTAGTGGTTTGTGCTGAGTTTTGGTTAGTGTTATGTGATACCCTACACGGGCTGTTTACTGCAGCAGATTATTTGTGATTTAGTCAAAGAATAAAAGGAGATTTAAATAAATACCTGTCCAGATTTTAAAATGTGGAGCAGTGTTGTAATTTCTTTTATTTCTTCTTATAATTTGAGTAAACTTGTATTTCAGGATAAGGGGTAGGATGTTTCTCTTTAGTTTTTGTTTCAGTCAGCAAATAAATAATTGTAGCTTAAAAGAATGGTGCAATTTTATAAAGGTTGCATTATATGCATTTCTCATGACATATATTCCAGCATTAGACAATCTGACTTCACCTGAACACAAATAAAATGTTTTGCCAATGTTCAAACTGAACAATATTTTGTCATATTGTCTTAATGTTCTTGGCAGTAGGAAATATTTTTGTGTTGAGGCATGTAAATGACAAACGTAAACTTCACAAATACTCTCTAGAATTTAAATGAGCTTTAATCTGTAGTTGCTGTAATCATGACCAGATGTCAAGCAGTTCCTTGTCCTTTGTTTGAAGCGACACTGATATGGGAGTAAGAGACAACAGTTGGAAAGAAATCTGATAGCACCAAGGGACCCCTCCCATATTTACTATGAGATGTTCATTAATATTTCAAGTCACTGCCTTTGTCAGGTGTGACTGCAAGTGTTTTTGAAACTAGAGTGAGGCTTGACTCCTGTCTATCATGGAAACTCTGGATAATGGGTCTTTTGAATATGCTACAGTCTAGATAACTACCATGCTGCTTTGCTCATTAAATAAAGATCATAAATAGCATGTAAAAACAGGACAGTGGAAGATTGAAGGGTAGTTGGATTTATCCTGGAACCTGCAGGTTGGCTAATTCAATGGACGAGTTTGAGCTAAAAATACTGTGCACTTTACCAGTACCAGTCTGTGGTGATACAGGGCAGCTCCCACAAATGAATGTGTGTAATGGTATAAGTATGTGACAAGGTGTTGGAAAGAAAAATGCAAGCTCAGCCAAGCATCCAATGATAATTCTTGTTTAAAGGGTAAAAAAACAAACGAAACCTACCTGGAGCGACTCCACTACTGCATGTTCAAACTTCTCACCTCTGCCTGTTAACTGATCCTGTGGCTAATTGTTTATAGTGTGCGTGGTTAAGTTGCCAGTTGCTGGTAACGTAGCCCTCAGGATTGAATGTCAGGGTACTCTTACAAAAGGCTCCTGGAAAGAACGCACTCCGTCATTTTTGTTACCGGTTTACTGACTCATGTGTTATAAAATCTTAAAATGGAGCATGATCTTAAATATAAACAAATGAAAAGGTAATTTAGAAATGAAACAAGATAAGACATGCAGTATCTTAAAAAAGTTATGTTTATTTAAAAAACACTTGGGAGATACATGTACTGCAGTTGCATATAATACACACAGACAATTCCTTTTATGGGTGAACACAGGTTCATAGTCCTCTCCCTTCCCCCATTCCCACCCTTCCCACACTGCACTAAAAGCTGCACTGAATACAGTTGTCATCTGTCTTGACTTTTGCAGGTTATTAATGATACTCTTACTACAGTATTTACAACACATAATCCTGTTGATAACCCTGTCGTACCATTTTACACTTACAGTTCTTCCCTTTTGTTTACAGTGGTGCCTTATTATAAAGGTGATACATTAAGCAGTCATTTTGTTTTTTATTAAAAAAAAAATCAGTAATAAACATTAACAAGCGAGGACTGTATAAAAAGTATATGATCGTACAATGATAATAACATTAAACGTGTTGACCTTAAAGATGTCTATTGGTTTGGAAACATGACTTAATTTCCACTCCTTTGTCTTTTGCATGTTTCTTTAGTCAGTCTCTGAAAAACAGAAGTCTAATTCAGAGAAAAGTAACATTAATAAATCAAACACATCCTTCATTATGGAGTCTCCTTGTTTCCTTGAGCTCTTTTCCTCAGTACACCCTCAGTTTGGTGTCAAGAGCAGGTTTGAGATTCAATAATGTCTTTTTCTCTTTGACCTTCATTCATACATAGTCTTTCCTTTCTAACCCTGGGCCACCTGCAGACCGCGGGGCAGAGTAAGCCATTCGTGAAGGGTTGTATCTGGTCTCACGTGGTGGACAGGAGCAACAGAGCAGTCCACCACCAAGAATCAGGAGCGCAGCAGCTGCCCAGCCGATGTACATTGCTGCCCCCAGTTCCCTCCGCTGAGGGTCAGCAAGTAGAGGGTTGTAGAAGTCCCTGATTATGGTGTTGGCCGACCAGGAGACAGGGATGAGCTGCATGACCCCGGCAACAATGAAGAAGACCCCCGAGATGATCATCACCTTGGCCTTGGATGCCTCGTCGTCAATGCAGTTTGTGCACTTGGCCCCAGCGATGGAGATGAGCAAAGCCAGGATGGCTAACAGAATGGAGATAACGGTGAGGGCACGGGCAGCTTGGAGGTCTTGAGAAAGGGCGAGCATGGAGTCATAGACCTTACACTGCATCTGGCCTGTGCTCTGGACCACGCAAGTCATCCACAGGCCCTCCCACATGATCTGAGCTGTCACAATGTTGCTGCCGATGAAGGCCGTTACCCTCCACATGGGGAGGGCGCACGCCACAATGGCAATAATCCATCCCAAAATGCACAGGGAAATGCCTATTAACTCCAACCCAATAGACATACCGAAATGTCTTCCTCTGCTGCTGCTGAATGTGTGTCACACCTGAGAGGAGATCTCAGAAATAATCTGCTAAGGGGACGAGTAATCCAGAGACCCAACTAGTAATTAAGTTAATTTCAGCCGTTGCTTCTGTGAGTGTGTGGCGATCTGTTGCCCTCGACTTTAGAAGTATCCTTTATAAGGCAGATCAGGTAGAGGGGAGGAGCCTTTGAAAGAGCTGACATCACCAAAAGGGGACGAAGGACTCGGACACATTCTGCTATCATCTTACATGGCCAGCTTCACAATGGGCCTGGTCACAAAGAGGCCTTTTACAGCTGAAAGGGCTCACAAGCATTGCATGTGTTAAGAAGACCAAAGAAACATTTCTAAGATGGATTAAGATTTATTGTGTTGTTAAGATTTATTGTAATATTGAAAAAAAAGTTATTACATTTTATGTGAAGATGTTTATGTGAAAAGTTTGACTGATTTATCTTTGCTGTCAAATAAACTCTTTTTGTTGTCATGAAATCAGTTGTAAATGGAACATTATACTTTCAGAATTTGTGTATAACATTACAGTTTATCAGAAAGCTGTAGCCTACAGTTAATAATCACTGAATAACTCTTGTTTCAGTCTTAAGTAACTTGTTGATCACTTCCTCATAATTAGCCCAGGCATCTTTCTGCAGGTCCATGATGTTGCTTTTTTTAAATGACTTTGAAGAATGCCTGACCTTTATTCATACCGTGTTTATCCCGGGGAATCCCGTAATTTGCATGGCCCTCAAACTTTATTATCAATAATTCTCAAACACGAATTGTTAACGCCTGTCTGACATAACCCAAGTTACCACATCGTCTAGGAAACACAATATACGCACACAATCCACGTACTACGAAACATTTCAACACATCTCACTGCGACGTGGCCACTCATAACCCGATCCAAGGGGTGTGTGCGCAGCTGCTCTTTGCGCAGGCAGACGGACCTGTTGCAAAAATGTCAGCAGAAGACAAGGTGTAAGCTTAAAAGTGTAACCTGCACAGAGCAGGTTGAACTAACTCTCTCCTGCTCTCCTCGCCGACCTGCTGGAAAAATAAAACTCCCATATTTTGAAACCTAAATGCAGGCATACCTCTGTTCTTCAGTAACTTGGAGTGAAAAACGTTGTGCTTTCAGTTTGACTGCAGCTTATTTTTTTTTAAATCATACAACGCTGTTATGAAAAGGTGTCATAAGACCAAGGATTGGGGAATACCCTTAAATTTTATGAACCCCTTCAGTTTAAGGATCACTTAAAGATTTGAGACTTATGTTTGATGTGCCTTAATAACTGCATAGTGTCTGCAGAATGTACTTGAAATTCTTCAGGGCTGCAACTTTCTCCCTTGAAATGCCCCCCACCCCCAGTATCTTGTAACCCAGTGTTGACAGCCCCCCAACCCTTCCCCCTTCTCCTGTCTTGAAACAGGTTCATTGTTTGGGAGGACAGTTCAGAGGGTAGAGTGTGGGGAAGCTGACAAAGCAGCAGTTCTTGTTATCATAGAGCCAACAGACGTGTGGGAGACAGCCAGGTGGATGGCTGCTGTGATAGACTCCCAGTCGTCAGCTTAATGGCTGTGTATGCAGGGTGGGGTGGAATGAGACATTATTTTTGCCCCTGTACAGTCAAATGTACAACTGACCAACTCAAAGGCATATTGATATATCCATACTGCAAAATAGAGCAGTGGTTCTCAGACCACTTTTATGTGACAGTAGAATTCAGGGCATAAACATATTTTTGATGATGAGCATTTAAAAAACATAAATAAGGTTACTGATAGGTGCATTTTTTTATGATTTTCATCAAACTTTGAAATATCAAATGTTTGAGCCTCCATAACGAAACAGACAACCTGAAAAAAACAGTGTCAAAATTTTTAATGATCAAGACAACAGAAGTAAAAAAACAGGACCTTTAATCAAAAACGTAACGTGTCAGACATGAAAACATTCGATGATTAACTGATTTATAAAACATATAGATAGATAGATAAAAAATATCTGCATTATGCTTCATGACAGGCTTCCTAGACTTAATCAAAACTGAAGGTTCTTTATAAAACACATACACAGACAATACAGAGTATAAACTACAGGACTAATCACATCATCAATATATTGTTAGCGTGAGTGCTTCCAACAGCCTCAAAGTTACACACAAAGCTTTTTTTTTTGTTTGATGTAGGCTCTGTTCAAAAGAGCATACAGTACATTATATGGTGGCATGAATATAGGAGTTTTCCCCATCTCAACACGAAGACAGAAGTCGTTACTCTCCTCACTAGTTCTCTTTAAGCAGTTTTTTTCCATAATGGCAAAGGTGTAAGAAAAGGGCAGGTGCACGTTCAGACATAGTCTCTCCTATCATAACCACTTGGGGCCACTGCTTGGGGCGACCTGCTTTGGGAGTATATCATTTTTGATGGAGGCCCATACCTTCTCTCAGGTTGCGGAGGGCAACTGGAGCAGAGGATACCCCCTCCAATGAGAAGAAATGCAGCTGCAGCCCAGCCCAGGTACAGAGCTGCACCTATCTCCCTCTTCCATGGAGTATGTACGTTTGGATCGTAGAAATCCACGATGATCCTATTGGCGCACCACGACACAGGGATCAGCTCGGTCAGAGAAGCCAGGATGAAGGCCACCCCGGCAGCTTGCATCACCCGAGCCTTGGCCGACTCTTCTTCCAAGCAGTTGGTACATTTTGCCCCCATCATGGCCACCAGGATTCCCACAATGGAAAACACAATGGTAGTGACAGTGAGGGCGCGGGCGGCCTGAACATCTCTGCTTAGAGCCAACATGGAGTCGTGGAATTTACACTGTACATGACCTGTGGTTTGGGCAACGCAATCCATCCAGATACCTTCCCAGGTCATATGGGCTGTGACAATGTTCGCCCCAATGTAAGCTGACACTTTCCACGCAGGCAAAGCGCAGGATACAGTGGCCAAAATCCATCCCAGGAAACCCAGAGTCACTCCAAGTATCTCCATCCCCACTGAAGGCATGTTGGAGCTGATGTCTTCTCTATCTCAGTAGGCAAAAGTGGATTGAGCAAGTGTTCACTGCAGTGCTGATTGCTCAAATAAGCAGCAGATTTCTTTATCGCAGAAGGTGGAGACTTGGGGATTGGCCAGGGAAGAGTTCAAGTAGTATTCTGTCCAAAAAAACTAGCCTTGGCGTGTAATTGGCCATTCAACTTCCTCTGCCCCTGTAGCTCTCCCACCTATTTGGGTGAGGGGAGAGTAAACAGAGGGTGTGGATCTCAGGTCTGGAGTTAAAGGATAACAGACATGGTAAAGATCGGTGGATGAATGATTGAAAACGGAAAACACTATCTACTCCCGCGGGTTTCTCATTGTACTCCTCTTTGACAGATGAGACAGATGTTTAGAATGCTGAATTGAATCTAACCAAAAATATAAATATCATTTTATAGTTTGTGTTAAGACCATAAGCTGGTCAAAGGGGTCATAAATCATATTTTCTTTATTTTTAGTTCTACCGTTTTTTGTATGAAATTAAAAAACTGCTTGCTAGCAGTAAAGTTAATACATACTGGGTTAGAAATACTGACTGAAGATATTACAGTGAGTAGGTGAGGAGTTATGGAAAGTTCTTTCAAACATATTTGAGAGAGATAACGCCTAGAATCTTTCCAGTAACAATGGCTGACAGGATGCTTTAGTGGGTAAATGTTCTGACACACTGCCCTTAAATGTAAGTAGATGGTAATGTTAATTCTTTCCACACAAAGCAGATCTTTATAATAAAAAATAAAAAAAAGAATTTCATTTAGAGACTAAAAGTTGATCAAATAATATGTAACAATGTTGAGATTTGTGCTGCTATGTGATGCGAATAAAAACTTTCCCCAGCCGCCTATGTTATCATCTGAAGTTAATAGACCACATGTCGGAATAGCAGATAAACATCATTTATGAATATCATATGTATTTTCTCTCTGGAGATAAACTTATTTCTAATGATCAGTCGTATAGAGAGAGAGTGGGCCAGTGTGTTTGAAGCTCAGACAATTGTCTGCGTGCAAAAGTTAAACTGAGGTCGAAACTCTTGATGCACTATGACCTTCAGAGCGGGGGCACTGATACGTGTGCACAAGGATGGGGGGTCTAATCAGTGTCTTTGTTCTGAAGGTCATAGTGCATCAGGAGTTTCCACCCCAGTTTAACTTTTGCATGTGCCACAGAAAAAGACTAAATACACACCTCTATTAGTTTTACCATGAAGCCTCTTCACACGCTGAATCTGCACCTTTGTCGGTTTGTAAATCAGTTTACAAAAAAGAAAGAGATTGGAAAGAAAGAGATTGCTTTACCAAGGTGATGTGGTGGCTGTGGTCAAACACAACTTCCCTTTAAACACAGCATGTATTTGATGATTGTGCAAAAGTCCAACATTGTGTAAGAAGTTTCTAATGCATCAGTGAGGCCATTCATTTCTTTCATTTCTTATGGCCACTCTCTTGCCATGCGATGATATGCCAAAATTTGGACACACCTTACTTGTATAGTGTTCAGTGTTTCAGCGCTGCAGCACCATCATGTTGTTGGGTTTTGTTGCAACCCCTATGAAGTGGGAGCTGGTGCTTTTAAGGTAGGTGTTGCAGTTTGTCTTCGTATGTGACTGTTGCACCTTACCATTAACACACGACTGCACAGCTGCTCTGTAACACAATCCTGCCAGTAGGGTCTGTGGTCACTCAAAGGGAGTGTTCAGGATATTTAGAAGCACACATCCTTTAGCTCTTTAACCTCATTTCACAGGCCAAAACAAGTTAAGAAACCCAGAAATGTTTTCAACCTGTACTTTTGTTTTGTCTACTTTCAATTAACTGTATTGCTTGTTAATAAGAAGTACTGAATTGCCTGCAAGGCTGTATATCTCCTCTAAATGCAGCAGGCCCACTGTCCTGATGTGGTGTCACCAACTGTCTACAACAAATCCAAAAACATGTCTCACTCAATATCTGCTTTTGTTTTGCCGTGACAAGTGACATTTTGAACATTTAAATACACTTTATTCTAGTGAATACCACCTGGGGAGGGAGGAAAACAGTTGCATACCATCGGATCAAAAGGGCCTTTGTGGCTCAGTTTGGACTCAATTACAGTGCAGGTTACATCCCCTTGCAGATGGAGACTTTTATCTCAGACTCAGTTTCACTCTCGCAAATGAAGGCCAAGCTACAATGGAGGGGAAGCATAAGGTGCTCTTCTGAAACAAGCCACCCATTGTTTCAATCCTCAATTTAAATTGACATAAAATACCTCATTTCTACAAGCGCCAGTAATACAATTATTGGTCAAACTCTACAGCTGGCATCTGTGTCTGCATATCAAATAACTCATGTTACACTTAATTTAAGCATGCTTTTCTGGCTCTACATTTCTGATTCTGTGGCATGAAAGTGCTGAATTACAAACTCCACTTTTTAGAATACATGAAAATTAGTAAATAATGGAACATGTTTTGTTCTTTTATTTATAATCACATAAAAAGTTGCTTTAATCAGAAATAATCTGCATAGACACTGTGTGAATATATTTATGATCAGACACCAACTTAATGTTTCTTAGAAAAAAGCTAGAATCTACAAATCTAAGCAAAAAGCAGTTTATTTGATGAAAATATTAAAAGCAACATATGATGCCCACCACTACAGAAAAACGGTCAAAAAACACTTCATGAAATAGGAAATATGCATCAGTGATTCATTCTTTATGTCCAAGCCTAAGATGCTGCATTAACATCTATGCAACCAAACATCCACATACAAATTTGCTAACACTCGTCACTGTATCTTCATCTGCACCCACATGTCATATATATATTCAGACATAGTCTCTTCTGGTGTATCCATTGACTGACACAGTCTTGACAGGTGAGTATTCAATCCGGGGAGGCATGGAGCCACCACCACTCGGTGCTGGAGCTGCTTTGGGTGGACAGGAGCAACAGAGTAGGGCTCCACCTAGGATGAGCAAGCAGGAGGCAGCCCATCCAAAGTACAGAGCATTACCAAACTCCCTCTTCCCCGTCTCCTCCAACAGCGGGTCATAAAAGTCTACGACGATGGCATGCGCGGTCCAGGACACAGCCACAAGCAGCAGCAGTCCAGCCACCACGAAGGTTATGCCAGCAGCCACCACAAGCCGTGGTTTACTGCTCACATCCCGGCTACAGTTGGTGCACTTGGCACCTGCCACTGACAGGCCGATGCCCACAATGCCCAGTACCATGGAGACAATGACCAAGGCACGCGCGGCTTGCAGGTCCACTGGCAGCCCCAGCATGGAGTCGTGCACTCTGCAGTGCATCTGGCCTGTGCTCTGCACTGAACAGTTCATCCACAAGCCTTCCCAAATCACTTGGGAGATGACAATGTTCTGACCGATGTAAGCAGCCACCCGCCACATGGGCAGACCGCAGGCTACCATTACCCCCAGCCACCCGGCCACTGCCAGGATCATCCCAAGGATCTCCACTCCTGCAGAGTACATAGTTGGAGCTGGGGATGAAGAAGGAGCTGAACAAGACTCTCTTCCAGGGCTCTGTGGGATAGAAGGCCCTCTGTGTCCACAGGCTCAACCCTCCTGAGATGAAGGCGTTATCGGATCCCGCTGGCTCAGTCAAGTCCTGCGTAAGACTTTTAGTGAGAGAGAAAGTGAGAGGGAAGAAACGGCTTCTACCTTCTTTATACAGCTTAGATAACTGAAGGTGGAGTCAGCTTCAGGTGGCATCATGTTTACTTTCAAACTACAATTACACTTTCATATTTAAAATACATTTTGTTTAACTGAATTTGGTATCACATGGCAAACCAGGAAAAATCAATATTCTTTCTGAAAACATATTTTTTTTCAAGTACCTGCACAGTCTTAGATAAAAGTAAATATATTAAATACATATTGATTCTGAAGTGTTCAAACCACATTTACACAGAAGAAATGCCTGCAGCAATCATTTATGTACTCAGTTCATGTTTTACTATACTATATAAAGATGCTTGTACCAGAGTTCCTTTTGGGTATTTTTAATTTGAGAAAGAGTATATGTATCCCTATTTGTGACATGTGACAACCTTGAAAAGAACGCTGAATCACCATCTGAATGAGATCTCCATCCGAGAAAAAAAGAGCAACAATGACAGGCTTTGTTTTTGTTGGTCAGCTACTTAATCCCTCCTGGGACAAAAAAAAAACACACTGGGTTTGAGCTAACAGGCCTCATTGTCAGAGTCATTTGAGGTGTTTTTTTTTCAAATGCAGGATATATGGTTAAATAGTTTAATAAACTTAAATGCATTGAGAGTATCAGCCTGGTATTCGTTGACCTAACATAAAAGAAACTCTTTTGAATCTCCATGGGACACACCAATGCAAACCTCAAACCATAAATAGAGACTGGGATTTAGGAATGGTAAATGGTAAAAACAAAAAAGGACAAAGTGAGGTGCAAAAGGACCACCTCTCTCGAAAATGAAAGAGCGTTCTTGCTTCTGAATATTCAAAAACACTGAATCACAGCTCAGTCTCTCTCTGAGTCAACATCAGCCTTTTGTCGTGCTGAATACTAAATGACTCAAAGGATACTTCAAAAGGTCTGAATGTCTTCTAAATATCTTGCTGTTTGAAAACAACAGGCCTGTTGAGGTTGGCTGACCTACGAGCTCTGTGTCATTACAGGCTTTCCTCTAATTAACAGAGGTCACTTGGGGTCAGTGGTCAGGATGAGGGTCTCTCCTATCTGTGTTTAACCCCGTAGACAAACAAAAATGTCAAATTGTGTTTTTGTATCAATACAGTACACACAAACTTCTTTGAATAAGCACTTGAAGCAGTTTTACTTGTTATACACAAATTACAGGTTTTTTGAATGCTTAAGCCCGATTTTGAAAACAAGGCTCATTTTGTCAAAACACTACACACAATTCACACAACTATTCACACAACACCTCAGATAGTTTGCAAAATTAAACATTTCATTCAATATGCAATAATTTATAAAAACCCAATTTTGTCACCGTATGGCACACACGGTTCAAATTC